CAACATATAGATATACGATTATTTCAGTGCAATTGAAAAATACTTCCCCTTTCTCTGTTGGATCACCTTGGTTCTGTTGAAAATCAAGTAACTATACAAGGCTGGGTCAATTTCCGAGCTCCTTATAGTGGTCCATTGACTCAGTTTGTTGATCCTTACACTGACTCCACACTCTCTTGATTACTATAGCTTTATTATTAGTCTTGAAGTCAGATAGTGTGACTTTAGTCATCTTTTTCAAGATTGCTTCAATGTAAGTTTTAGAATAAGCATTTCAAATTCTACTTTTTTTTTTAAAGTCTCTTGGAATTACATTGAAACTATAAATCAGTCGACATATTAAAAATATTGTATATTCTAATTTATGAACAAATCTCTTAGTAATGTGTTGTAATTTTCAGTACAGAGGCCTGCACATCTTTTGTTAAATTTATTCCTAAGAATTTTATGTGGTTTATTTTAAATACAGTTGAGGTTTCCACTCCACCGTCTCTACGCAAGTTCTTCAGGGACACTGGCTACATTTTTCACAATGTGGGAACATTCTCAGTATTTCCATTCTGGTTGTTCTGTTTCCATTCATCTGGTTTCACTGTCCCCTAACATTCTCATCTTTGTTTAAAGTCATTGTTGACCATTTGGTCTCATAGAGATAATTTTTTAAGGGAGCACAGTACTCACAGGTGATATTCGTTATTTTGTGAGCTAATCTGTCAGTTAGCTGAAAGGTGACATCAGGGACTAGTTTCAATTCAAGGCTTAAAGGGTATCTCAGGGCTTGGAAAATCCTTCAGTCTCAGCTTACATGCTGACATGGGTAGGGGAGGGATATACAGGAAGGATATATGACCATCAGGATAACATTAGGAAATGAGGCCACCAAATTCTGCACACAAGAGACAGACGACAGATGCTAATACCAACCAATGTGTCTACAACACCGCATTGCCATTAACACCAAACACTAGACTATACAGATAAACACATAAACACCTGAGATAATCAGATGGGGTCAGTCAACAGAAGTATACTCTAGACCAAGTATAGATTGAGCTGAGGCTAATCTTGCACAGACACCAGTGATACAAAATACCTGCAGTCCTTACAGAAACAATAGAAGACAGACACAGAGTAATCCCTCACAGACAACCAGACACTATGGGAGAGAGATCCAATAGA